ATGAGAAACTTTATAAGGATCCTGAGAAACCTTTGCAGTATCATGAGAAACCTTTGTAGGATTCTGAGAAACCTTTGCACGATCCTGAGAAACCTTTGCAGTATCATGAGAAACCTTTGTAGGATTCTGAGAAACCTTTGCACGATCCTGAGAAACCTTTGCAGTATCATGAGAAACCTTTGTAGGATTCTGAGAAACCTTTGCACGATCCTGAGAAACCTTTGCAGTATCATGAGAAACCTTTGTAGGATTCTGAGAAACCTTTGCACGATCCTGAGAAACCTTTGCAGTATCATGAGAAACCTTTGTAGGATTCTGAGAAACCTTTGTAGGATCCTGAGAAACCTTTGCAGGATCCTGAGAAACATTTGTAGGATTCTGAGAAACTTTTGTAGGATCATGAGAAACATTTGCAGGATCCTGAGAAACCTTTCCAGGATCCTGAGAAACTTTTGTAGGATCCTGAGAAACCTTTGCAGGATCCTGAGAAACATTTGTAGGATCCTGAGAAACCTTTGCAGGATCCTGAGAAACTTTTGTAGGATCCTGAGAAACTTTTGTAGGATCCTGAGAAACTTTTGTAGGATCCTGAGAAACCTTTGCAGGATCCTGCAAAAGTAAGTCAGGATAATTTTCCCCCCATCCCTCATGGGCTCCATATAAGATTATAAGACTTGCTTATATGGACAGCTTTTGCAGTGAAGAAACAATAACAGATTAAATAAGTTCCACTTTAAACCTGGTTGGAACCAGGTTAGTTTAAAAGGACTTGTTACCATGGAAACAGATGTGCCTTCTCTTTTGTGCAACCAAATAAGTCCAGGATTACACCAACATCTTAGCTTAATCAAATTTCCTAGTTTTGTGCAACTAATTCAGGACTTGCTATTTTTTAAATTATTATTATAATTTTTTAAGGTGCATGAAGCAGAACAGACAGAATGAGTGTGTTTTATTGACACTGATGATTAATAACTGGAAGATTAATGACTGGCTGCTGATTGGGTGACAAACGGCAGCGTTGCGGTACCCCGCAGTGACAGATTGTTGTTGTTTGTTCTCTGGTTTCAGTGAATGGGTCGGCTCGTGTCTCACAGCGAGCAGATGATATACTGTCACAGTAAATTAGAGTAAACTCTGGCCTATAGGGGGAAAAGATCCACGCTGAAATGTCAAACATGTTCACAGGAAACACTCGACAAACTGGTCTTGGTGTTATTAGCTTCTGTCAAAACATGAGGAAATCACAGCAGGAATTTAAGGGATATTAGTCAATTTTAATAGTTTAAATGTCAAAAAGCTTTTTAAATAGCACGCCAGTTTATTCAAACGGAAGCCTATTTCAATATAATTTTATTATTATTTGATTTATAATCATTTGATTGTTTTGGATAAATGTTATTTTATTTTCACATCATTCATTTTTTACTTCAGCTTTCCTGTTAGACACATTAATTAGATTCTGCTTTTGTTTACAAACTCATTTACTTATAAGAAATGTACATATGAAACAATTAGTGACATTTTTATTCTTCTGAGTGGAGACAAAAATGCCAAGAAGAAAACTGAAATTATGTTTATTTATTTCTATTGTATTTCTCGTTTTGATGTATGAAATTGTATAAATGGTTTTATCTGTGTTGTTTGATTTATGGGACTATGAATGGATATTAGCATTTTGCTAAATACGGTATATTTACGTCAATCAATCAATCAATCAATCAATCAATCAATCAATCAATCAATCAATCAATCAATCAATCAATCAATCAATCATCAATCAATCAATCAATCAATCAATCANATCAATCAATCAATCAATCAATCAATCATCAATCAATCAATCAATCAATCAATCAATCAATCAATCAACCAATCAATCAATCAATCAATCAATCAATCAACCAAGCAACCAATCAATCAACCAAGCAACCAACCAAGCAACCAACCAATCAACCAACCAATCAACCAATCAATCAAGCAACCAATCAACCAACCAACCAACCAAACAACCAACCCACCAATCAAAATTGACAATAATCTGAGAATGTTGAACTTATTTACTTTAAACCAATAAATGATTGACGTTCTACTGAACACTGAGTTATAAATAGATTACTAGAGTTTTGCTGTTACTGTTAATGATTTAAATTTGGTTGCTAAAAGTTTTGTATGTTTTTCCAGATAAACTGACGTGTTTAAAACCAGACCTTTTCATGCTCTTTGGAGACATGTTTTTCTCCAGGTCCCTCTCCAGGTCCTGGACTGACAGGGTGTAGGACTCGGGGAGGTAGTCCGTCTCCTCGTCGTAGGCGTGGTCCAGCAGCGTGCGAGCCCACGTGCCCATGTCGTACGGCGGCATCATCCCCCCCAGCTCAGATGGCAGGATCTCAGGGTGGATGAGCTGGTGGAGGCTGTTCAGGTTGTTTCCGTGCATGAAGATCTGAAAAATCGCGTCGATAAATAGCTCTGATTTGAATTTAGTCTTTTCAATCATTTCCAAATATGTCTAAAAACATCAAAAATATCAAACACTGGAGGGGTAAAGCAACTGAATTTCACATTTTCATCAATTTCAGTTAAAAACATGTTTCCTTTCATTTGTATTTAAACAATGTCATTTGGCCCACCCTCTTCCTGGTTTTGTCTTTGAGGAAGGGTCTGATGACGGTGTAGAGGGCGTGGATGTACCAGGGCTGGTTCACAAAGTGGATCCCTCCAAACCTGGCAGGAAAACTGTCCTGTGTCAAACAGAAACAAAACAAGCAAATAAAAAACTAAACACAAGAATATTTTCTTTATAAGGGACTCGACAGCGCCACCTAAAGTGAGAAAGAGGAATTGGTAAGTCCTAGAGAGCTGAAATTCGATACATAGGTAGATCTCCCCAATTCAAGAAAAAAAGTCTCTTGGAGATGTGCCCTAAAACCAACAGGAAGTCAGCCATTTTGGGTCAAAGTTCATATTTTGGATGATTTTCTATTTTGCTCYGAACTTTTGCGAACTCCTTCTAGGGATTTTGACCTATCGGCTTCAAACTCAGTCAGTATGCTGTTAAGACATGGGGGATTAAAAGTTATCAAAACGGTGAGTCATCAAGTAAAATAATAAAAGTGGTTACAGCTCCATTTTTAAAACTGTTCTCCTTAAAGGAGACATATCATGCTAAATGCACTTTTTTTTGCATTTATAAACTATTTTTTGTGCAATTATATTGTCTAGGAGTGTAGAAAGCTTTAATTTATTCTGTCCAGTTACTGCAAAGATATTTTTTATAATTTTTTTGGGTCAAAATTTTCAGTTTGTTCAAAATCTGCTGTTGCTTATTTCGTTTCATTGTTTATTTCGACACACTTTTTTCTTCGGAACTACCATTTATGGTCATGTATTTCCGGCAAACTGGATTTCATTGTCCGCCATTTTTTTCCTCGCTGTGTGATTTTGTACTTCATAGCGTCATGC